CTTTGTCCAGGTACTTGGAGCTCAGAGACTAGTGATGGTCCATTCAAGCAAGTGTGTGATTGCAAATGGGCTTCCAGTAGGACCCCTTTTGATGTCTCTTTCAGCAATGAACCAGAAAGCATCGACACCAAGGAGAACACGGACATGATTATCATCAAGTTCAGGGTAATTGATGTGGCTGAGATGGTTGAATTTGGAACAAATGTTGTTCAATTGTTTGACGTTGACGACGTCGAAGTGAGTTTTATCAACCGAATAAACGTTCGGTGTTGTAAAAAGAACTGACGTAGATTTGAACGCTCCAACACTCAGTGAAATTAAGGTGGAATGAATTTTATCCGTTGAGAAAGCTCCATGACCTTTCAAGTGCTTTGGAACGCTGTTCAGTTCTTCCGCTGTAGTTTTGCATATATAAGAGCAACTGCTGCAGTTGTCCAACATTGCATAACACTGAATTGAGGTTTTGCCAATAATCAGAGTTACCGGCATATATTGTAACTGATTTCTATTGACCGAAACTGAATCCGGATTTATGCTATTATCGCCATCTCGTGAATTGAGAATTCGTTGTTCAACTTCGACGTTGTTAGACTTCTGAGATTGATTTTTGCTATCAATTCCAGGTTTTGCTCTGTGCAAACTTGAATGATGCTTCTGACCGCAGTTATCTTGCATACATCGTTTTTCTGACCTGCAATCGTGCAACTTGTGTTTATAAAGACATTTGAAACATAGTGAGTGTTTCTTAACAATCTTCAAACGTTAATTCAGTGGCAATCTTTTGAATTCTGGACAACGTCCCAAATAATGATTGCCCTGATAATTAAGACAGATAATACTCAATGGCGTGGTGGAACTGCGATAAATAGAATAAGGATTATTTGGATCACTTGCGCTATGGTCTTTTTTGAGGAAAGACGAATTCTTGTTGTCATGCTGCTGATAGTTTTTAGTCTTGACAGGTGGCGATTTTCCAATCTGTAAATCCAAACTTTCGCATGCTTTCGAATAATTGTTAAACTAATTTGAAAAATCGATTAAGGTAGCATATTCCAAACCGTGGACTACACAAAACTCCTCCCATTTCATCAAAACAGCAGAAGAAAGCTTGCTGCGCGCAATTCTAGATAAATTTGTTGATCCTAGTTCGAAAGTCTGACCATTAGCTTCAAAGTTATGAACGAGCTTGCGGAGGAAAGTCCAATTTATCACAAATGACAAAGAGTCGCGTAGATGTGGACGCTCGAAGTCTTCGAGTTGTTTTATGTAGGCAGCCACAATGAATTTTGGATTACCAAACCTACGAATGAGTTCTTCAATGGCCTGGTCATACTGGCTAGAGTTTGTGACATAACTATCTATTAAAATTTTTGCGCTGCCTGTATATAGTGTTTGAAGATATGTAATTTTCTCCACAGGACTTATACGAGGATTCTTTCCAATAGCTGTTTGATATAGTTCAACCCAATTGTTCCACTCAAGAGCATTTCCATCGAATTTCGATAGACGTATATCGGGAAGTTTGAAACCTTTCCAGCTGTAAGCAGATGTGTCTTTGGATTTGACGAACTAGTCAACATGGGCTGCGAATTTTGCTTGATGTTCATTTCGTCAGTTGAGGTCCATCGATGACCATATCGTGTGCCTGACCGAAGAAGGTTACTAGTTGTAGCGGTTGGTAACGGCCTGTCGAAGGTTTGAGTCTGACCTTGAAAAAATCCATAGTTCTGGGATGCAGAATTGGAGTAAGGAATGTTGTTCAAGCTTGAGCTATACAAGCCTTCAATTTGTTGTGGAGCCTCAGTGGATGTTCTAATGAAATGGTTAAAATCTCGCGTCATCTCTTTTGTTATTGGAGCCTCTGTTCCATAAGGAGAGCTGAGAAAGATGCTTGAATCGTGTGGAGTTCTAAGTAGGTTCTCATCTACAGAAGAGTTGCAATCTTGAAATGTCACGCGATTTGATGGACGTTGGTCCAAAATGGAGTACCTCTGTTCGTTACGAGACATTCCGACAATGGTTGTTTCAGTTGTGAATGAACACCGGCTCGCGGCTATTGTTGCTGTTGCAACTGAGTTACGTTGGAACTACACACTGGTGCAAAAGAAGCTATGGGGTTGTTTTCAGCTGGAGCAACTAAGCTAATATTGAATGATGTATCGTCTCCGATTCAAGTCTTCTTGTACTTTTTCACTTGCTTAATTGCTTTGCATTTTCTATTGCGCAATGTAGAAGTTCGTTCTAAACAGTCGTTGACTTCGTCAGAAAAAAAGGAAGCTAATTCATCAGCATAACTTTCAATTTCTGTTAGCAGAGTAACAAATTCCGCGAGGGAAAGCTTAACATCGTCGAAGCAATTTCGGATGTCAGTTGATGTTCAAGTTCTTCTAATGAACGATATCGACAGTGCCATTGGTTCATAAGTTTGGTAACTTTGGGAGCCATTGCGTAGCCGACCAACAAAACAAAGTAGATAAAGGGATAAAAGACTAGTAAGAACTAGTCAAGTAGTGTCCTAGGGCAAGCAAGGGAAAACCAGTGGCGACTAGTTCTTTTGAAAAGAGCTTTGCTGTGAAAGACACAAGCACGAGTGCTGTTGAGAAGCAAAGTTTGCTCTGACGAGCAAACGGTAAAAGTTAGGGACAACTAGCGAAGCGGGGAAGGAGCTGGGTTTACCCAACTTTGAAAGAGTTTAATCTGACGAGCAAACTTAAAAATGCTAGATACACTAGCGAAGCGACGGGGAAGTTGGGTTTACCCAACTTTAAGGAGAACGGTTTGTTCTGCCGGACAAACAAAAAAATGCTAGATATACTAGCGAAGGGACGAAGAAGCTGGGTTTAACCAACTTTAATTAGAAAGGTTTGCTATGTCGAGCAAACGAGAAAAGCTAGAGACGGCTAGCAAGCGAGACAAAAGCTGGGCGGAACCAACTTTCAGAAAAAAAAAGTTTGCCCATACGGACAAACGGAAAATGCTAGGGACTACTAGCGAAGGGACGAAGAAGCTGGGTTTGCCCAACTTTAAGGAGAAAGGTTCGCTCTGTCGAGACAACGAGAAAAGCTAGACTGACTAGCGAGCGAGACAAAAGCTGGGCGGAACCAACTGTGAAGACGTACGTTTGATCTGACAAACAAACTAGTAAGGCTGGAAGGCGACCAGCGTAAAGCTCGAAACAAGCTTTGAAATAAATTTGTAGGATAAAAAAAGCTCCGATAAATTGAAAAACATCTTGTTGAAGTGGATGTTGTAAATAGTTGTAGTCTTCGTCGTAGGATGCCGTAGCATCGCACCGTTCCTGACGACAGCCCGCGTTTCTTATATAAAATTATCGTGCGTGATATTGCCCAAAAAAGTTTTATTAGTCTATATGAGTTAAAGCAATTAAACTTCAAATTTTGAATTCGATAGCAACTTTGTGTGTGTGTGTTTGTGTGTAAATGGAAACTTTTATGAAGCCAATAGAAAAATTCAACTGACTTTGAAAACTTTATTAAATTGATTAAGAAACCTTAATACGCGTACTGTTTATTTCTATTCCTTTTTTGAAACTTTAAAGAACTTTTAACAACCTTGTTTTTGTTTATATTTAGATGAGTTTTGAACTCTACAGCGCTTTTTTTATAAAGAAATCTAATTTAATGTTGGGTCAGGAACACAAAGCTTAAAAATGCAAAAAAAAAAAACGTTTTTTTTATTCAAAATCTATCGTTGTTTCCCCGAGGAGTTTTTCAGTATTTTAAATTAGTGCAGCAAAGAACGTATTTAAAAACTTTGATGAAAAGCATTCTGACGTATGAAATAAAACTGTATGACGTATGAAATGATAAAGCAAAATATGAAATCGCCATTTATGAACATTTTTATATATCACTACTTTTGAGACAAAAAAACTGGCTTCGGTCCTTTGAGTAAAAATTGTCTCACTCACATTTTTGAGTACAATATCAAATCAAACTCGTATTTGCAACCAATACAACGATGAAACGCAGCCTTAACTAATTGTTTTTGTTGTATGCATACTGTATGAAGGCTAGTACAAGTTTTGGAAAGATCTTGCCTGGTCCTGATCCCTTTTGAAAACCTGGATGAAATTGATGTGGAGTACTGGTAGAGGCGTCCAGATCCCTTGTCAAGCGGGAAGCATTGTGCACATCAGAAGATTTTGGTCGCCATGATAATGGTTGCCGAACCAGTAGTCTTTTGAGCTTTCAATTGCATGGTTTCTCATACTTAGTTCCCAACTTTATCTTACAGTCAAATGTTAAAGAGTGTTCACATTTTTATTTAAGTTATCAAGAAGTCACAAGTCGACCTGAATAATATGATTGTTAATTATCATTAACACTTGCGTTCATTGACTCTTTTCCAACTATCTGTCGGCTATTTTCGATTTTTGTTGAAATCAATGACTGAAAACGATCCGCGGTTTGTTTTGTTTGATGTCTCTATTTCTGGCTCAAGAAGTTGTTACGTAAGATTATAATGTTGAGGTACCAGTCAGATCTCTTCCTTTCCCGACGCCGAAAGACATACGTCCATGTAAATGGGTACTACTAACTTGCAAATGATCATCTTGTTTGTCTGGTTCGATGGCGTTGTGGTGCATCGGTGGTCATGGTGGCTATTTTTCGTTTTCCCCCACCTGCCAATTTTTATCAGTAATTTTTCTGCTCACACCGTCCAATTGTGACAAAAACTGGCATGCGGGTTAGTTAGACCTTAGCAAGCATTTTTTTTTTCGTAGTTACCCTTGTAAAACCACTCGTTACGCCAGAAATATGATGCTTGTGAGGGGGGATGGAGGAAGGAAGGAAGGAAGAAAAAAGAGCCCTGATGGTGCCCAGCAATCATATGATTGCGGGTTCAAATTGCACATGCGCCGCATTTTACAAGGAGAGCTCCTGTAAGATAGCCATAGCTTAGTTACCTTAATTAATTAACCTCCGCTTTAGGCCTCTGGCTGGTTAACTAAAAATATATTGGATTTGATTGCTTAGATACTATTCCACCACAGCGAGACCTCTCAAGTAAGCGTCGTTTGCCACCCGTGTTGAAGTTCAGAAGATGCGTGATAGCTGTTCTGGCTGCGAACCGGCTCATACGAATAGCAAACGATTCTTCTCTCTGTTTCACAGTGGATGATCACCTAGTCGGAGGTCCCAATTGTAGGCTCAGTGTTTATATTGGACAAGGGGCGTCCAGTCACTCGAATGGAAACAATATAGAATCGAGTGAGTTTTCGGGGAATTTGAAGAAAAATAAAAAAGGTAAGCGCCATTTCTTCTACTGCGGTATAATTAAATAACAGTTACGATAGGTCGTGATGATTTTTTTTTTCTAGAAACTTTGTTTTAAGTTTGTTCACCTTCAAACATGAGTTTTAGTGGTTTGATTATTGATTTCTTTTCAAGTTTAGCTCATTTCCTTTGTTAAAAGGAAAGCAAACTCCACTATCGAATAGCGAAATTGTATAGGTCACGAAAAACGTGATCGAATTCTAACTTCGAAAAAAGGATTTGATTATCAGACTTCTCAAATTGGGGTATTTTTATTAAAAAAGTGTCTAACAAAAATTGTTCTAGAAATTCAAAGAGATTTAAGGCCATCCGTTTTTTCTCGGAAATTCGAAAGTTAAGATTATTCGAATTTCTGAGAAAAACCAGTCAGTATTTTTTCTTTTTAATTCAAGATGAATAAACGACGCGTTAATTGACTTTTTTTCCAATTGTCTGCTGGTTATGTTTAGCATATACTTGCTTTCAAAATTTTCATGACGAGTAATTGACGTATTTTTTACAATTAACCTCATTCGCTTCTTAGGGATGAAATCGCGAAAATCAAATCAGCCAACTGTGGTTCTTCGTGAGCCCAAAGAGAAAATCCAGTCTCACCAAGTCTCTATGATAAATTGGCTCACGGACAATGGATTCCCCTACAAAGTGGTAACATCACTCAATGACCTTTTGACCTTCGTTCAGACAAATTCAGTCGACTCAGATGGGAGTCAGAAACAGTTGAAGGGAATCCTGACCCAGACCAGAAACTGTTTTGTTCAGTTAGTTTCGAGATTGTCCCAGCACTTCGAAACTTGCTCGCCGCTGGCGGAAATTTCGGCTTCTCTAGTACGAGAGCGATCGTCACTGGCGCAGAGACTGTTGAAAGGACTGCATTCGACTATGCTGAAAATGACCCCAGCTCAGCGGGCAGTGTATGTCCCTGTGCAGGTAAGCATGAGATTAGAAAGTCCTACAGCAGTGCAAGCAATTTGAAATTATTGCAGTTGCTCATTGGCCCTTGAAATTTCATTAAGAGAAATGAACGTAGTGGAGGCTCTTATATAGTTCATGATGATTTTTTTCTTCAGGAAGAAGTCTTAGTTTGTTCACGCTCAATTTAGATGTTTCCGTCAAGTTGAGCTCATTTTTATTGTTTGAAGGAAGTCAAACATCGAACAGCAAAAGTGTAAAGATAATGAAAAGTATGATCGACTTCTAGTTTCGAAAGTGGGTTTTAATGCTCAGATTTCCCAGCGGAATTAAAAATTTACCTTTTGATCCAGTTTTCTCAAATTGGTTATTTTTTTTGGTTCCCAAGCTTATCACCCCGTGTTTTTTGGAGGGTTAATTTTATCGATACATTTTTCTTGAAATTCAAAGAATATATATTCAAAGAATATAATTCTGCATATATATTTTTTAAAATTCGAAAGATGAAATTTTCCAAACAAGTAAGTTTTTTTTTTGTTTACTTGCGTTCATCACTCTTTTCCACCTGTCTGTTGGTTATGTTCGAAGTTCCAAAACCATTTCTTTACAAGAAGGTCGTCCTTAATTACGCAAGTGGGTCCTTTTTAGTAGCTCACCCTTTTTCAGATTCATCGCAGAATTTATGTGGAATTTAAACAGGATAATGACAGATGATTTTTTACAAGACGAAAAATATTCAAATCAGTGGTAACGCTGTCATTAGTGATTTGTTGTGTTTTTGCTTGGTTATGCGAATTTCAACTTCATTTCTTTGTTAATTCTTGCGGCATATAATTTGTACTATTATAATTGAACTTCCTAATATACTTAGTTGTTTGTAAACCTGTCTTTGACGCCGCCTAAAATGAAAATATCTGAAAGGTATACTAAACTTGTGGAAGTGCTTAAAATAATCTATCCCATTTCAGCACAACCTCTCTGCAGTACAGACTAAAATGATAGAATTGTGTGAGCGCATTTCATGTCTGGAGGAAGACAGGGCAAGAGTGGAGAGGGAAATGGCGAATCTGAGGTCAGAGAATGGACACCTTGCCTCAGTCAGAGACAGAGCGGATATACTGCAAAAGAAACTAGATACGCTCAAGGCACAGGTCAGTGAAGCTGTAGATTATGAAGATAAAATAAAACTAATAGTAAAAACTGATACTTTTTGTGGTAAAACTAAAATGGGTGCAATCAGTGTTTTGTTTTCGATTTTTGGTTTTCAGAATTTTTTCGCTCAAAATTTTGAAACATTTACACTTCTTTAAGCGAATTCATCCTTCGTCAACCATAAAGTTGAAAGTTTGCAAAAATACAGTCGGCTGTTTTTTGGAGGCATTCAGAAAATCAGTTTGGTTGACGACATTTGTGATCATTTGCGTCTTTGTTTTCATACCGAAGAGACGTAAAAAATAGGTTACCACCATTTTTTTCCATGTTGCATTAGTCCTAAAACCGCCTGAAATTTCACGCAGTCACAGCCGGTCTCTAAAATTATCTCTTTCAAATGATGCACCTGAAAAAAATCATTGATAAAGCAATATATATCAGCCCAGAAAGTATATGAAAACATGCTCGTAGTTATTAGATATTTACATACCATCGCTTCATCCTAAAGAGTTAAACAGCATCGTGATCTGACCTAAATGAAATTGCTGATTTCAAAATATTCTCTAGAGCGATTCAATGGTGAACAGAGACAAGTACAACAAAGTTTGTGGAGAACTGGACAGTGCACTGCTTCGAGAGAAACAGGCAGAGGACCTTCTTAAAGAGCAAGGCGAACATCTGCTGAACATGGGCAGACAGTTGGAGTCAAAGCACAAGGACGAAAGCTCACGCGAGATATCACTGGCCGAGTCTGCACGTGAATTGTGTGAGGTGAAATTGGAGCTGAGCAAGAAGACTCACGAGATCAGAGGGTTGAGTCGCAAAATGGAGGAACTGCAACTGGAAAAATCAAGGTCAGTGTCTGCCCTTCTTGAGGCAAAGACCAAATACGCAAGAATTGAAATATTTTTTAACATTAAAGTAACAAACAAATAAATAAACATTGTTCTCAAAAATTCCATCTTTCAATCAGATGGTGTAAATCATAGTTAACTCGTAGCAGCTCCAAATTTAAATGATTCATCCACATGGGAAAGGACCAACATACGAGCGGTTCAGTTTTTCAAGGATAACCGGTGTTGCGCCCCTGCTTAAGAATTACATGCAATTTTTTGGCCATTTTTCTTGGCTGGGTAATGTTGCCTCGACCTCAAGCAGCGAGCACGGATCATGGTGGGCCTCGGATATCCGACTTTTCGTATCTTCTGTGAACAGATATCTTCTAAGAGTCAATTAAATGTTTCGCGCTTAACATAAACTTTCACTCCGTTCAGGCTACAGCAGTCGATGACTAGCGCGGACATCAATGCGCGGTGTGCAGTTAGAGATGGAGACATGGTGTCGTGTTATGTGAAGGCTGTGAATGAGTCAGTAGAGGGTTTCAAGAACCAACTCATATACTCCCCATCCACCCTAAACACTCTCACGCTACCGCACGTATGTTGACTATGTGTGTTTATAGGAAGTTGAGTTTTATTTATAAGAACAAAAGTCTTTCAGTAGCTGAAATCCAAAATTACTTCTGGCGCGAAGTCAGGGAAACACTAGTACAGGGGCGGACTTAGGGGAGGAGGGCGGGGGGTGCACGCTCCCCCCCCCCCTCAGGGATTCGAACCCCTGCCGACCCAACGGGTCCCCCCTTTGTACTACTCTTCAATATTCACTTTTCGGTGATGGACCCTTAAGTTTTTCTAAAGGCGCCTTTGGCGCCAATATATACTAATTTATTGGGGGAAGCGCGCGCCGAAAAAACGCGATTTTTTGGTCAAACTTTCCCAAAAAAAGCCTAAAACGCCTTTTTGGGCTGTTTTTTCAAAATTTTGCCTGCGGCGCAGAAATTTTGGCCAAAACAGTGCTTTGGGAGAGCTCGAAAAATCTATTTGGTCGACCTAAAAAAAGGTCGACAAAAATTTCGCAAATTTTTTTGAAAATCCAACACCCCCCCCCCCCCCCCCCCCGAGAAAATCCTAGATCCGCCCCGGCACTAGCAACTAAGAAAAAATCAGAAAAACTACATATGGCTGTAAATACATACTCTTAATCAAAAAATGAGTGTCTGTTTTTTATGCAACATTAGACTGAAAACTACATATCATTGCCTGGTTATCTTAGTTTTCAGTCTAAAATCGAACCGGACCTACAGCAATTTGATTGTGGATTCTTCTGAATATGCGAACCTGCACTAATGGCAGTTCTAAGAATGACGTATATTTTAGTTGGACGAAGTACTCTCTGGAAACACCAAATACAGTAACGAACTCAAAATATGTCATGTAAGTGAATTTTGTAAAACTTAGTATAATTTATATCCTGAGGTTCTGAAAAGTTTACTAATGGACGTGTTTGTTGCAGGAGTTGGTATTGAACTTTGGTGACACTCTGGGTCATCTGACGACACACCTGCACAACCAGTCCAATCAGATTCGAACTCAGAAGGAGAATATCGCTGCTCTGAAGCAGGAGTTGTTAGTTTCCACAAAGCCACCCATGCATCCAAGCTACAGCAGTGGCTTTCACTCCAATGGCAAACAACTACAATCTTCCGCGACATTTTCCAATTCAAAACAGGTATGCAAGTGCTGCTCTTAACTGACTCATTTCAGCGAGCATATAAAGCAGCGTTCGATAGTGTAGATAGTGAGTGTATCTGGAAAATTTGCCGTAACCTTGGTCTGGCAGATAGTCTAATAAATCTTATGAAGTCTATGTACATTGAAACTTACAGTCAATTGAGTCTATAATAGCATTTCAAGAAGTTTTTGGTATTCTCAGTGGTGTCAGAGAATGGTCAATCTTGGCACCCTTTCTTTTTAATCTGACTATCGACTGGGCAATATCCAGAGCCCTCGAAGGAGAATCTATGAATCGCACTAGACGATATGGCTATTGCGGATCTAGATTTTGCAGATGACATCTGCCTGCTCGACGATAACCCGGAAGATGCACAGAGGCTCCTTGATCGAGTGGCTGAAAACGCAGCGTACGTTGGACTCGAAACAAATGTTGACAAGACCAAGTTCTGCTCTCACAGCGTTGTCCAGAAATTTACAGTCAACAACCAAAAAAATAGAAAGAGTATTAGGCTTTACTTATTTGGGGAAAAAATCCAACTGAATGGCGATATATCAAAACAGGTCAAAACGCGGATGGAAAAGGCAGCCGGTGGTTTTAACAATCTAAAGCGTATTTAGAATCAAGGGAAAATTATCGAAAGCACTAAATCCAAAATCTACAAAGCCTGCTGCATGAGTGTTTTGCTTTCTGGAGCCGAAACTTGGCTCATCAAAGAATCTTACATCAAACGAGTGGATGGCTTTGAAAGTAGGTAGTTGCCAAAAATTTTTCACAACGGATACGACCTACCAACATCAGACTGGATAAAACGTAAAGCAAAACTAGATAAAATATAAGCATTGACCATACACCTCAGAAGGCTGAGATGGCTCGGTCATGTTCGTCGCTTGGACCCCTCGCAGGTCCCGAATGCTGCCCTAGAATTTGAAGTAGGAGACGCCTGGAGACGACCCCCAGGTGGCAGCGGAACGTCGGTGCGCAAAATAGTCCGCGATGAAATTAAAACTCATGTGAAGTCGCCCAAAATTACGATCAAGACATGGGAGAGTAAGTGGTTCGAACGGTGCAAAAACCTGGCATAAAACAGGAAGCACTTGAGAGCTATGTCTTGGTATATCATTGTGGCGGGCTACGGGCAACATTACCTCAAATAGCTCTACCTGGAGCAAATATTTAGAAACTTGGCACGGAGTTGTGAAAAGAACTGTTAAGGAAGTGACATTCGAATAATCTTTATTTGAATCAGACTATAAGTTTGCATAGGAATTGACCAGCATGCGTTTTTCTCAGCTCCTAGATTGGTCTGAGCATTCATGAAAACTTTTTTTTACGGTTGGAGGGGTCCCAGTGTCATCCGTACCTCAAGGTAGGACCGACTGCGGTGAAATGGAAGACATCACCCTCCCCTGGATGGTCCTGCCTTGAGCAGGACTAGGTGCTAAAAAACTTTTGATCTAAACTGATGATCGCTTATTATCATTTAAACTGATGTTCGTCATGAGCGTAATGATCTTGATTTTTTAAGGAAAAAGTCTGAAATATTGTTCACGCTCAATTTTAAAATCTCGCGGTTTTACTTTTGATTTATTTTCAAATTCAGTTCTTTTTCTTTGTTAAAAGAAAGGCAAGCTCCACTATTGAACAGCAAAAGTGTAAAAATCATGAAAAACTTGATCGACTTCTAGTTATCGAAAGTGGATTTTAATGCTCAGATTTTCCGCGGAATAAAATGTTTAGCTATTGATCCAGTTTTATGAAATTGGGTCATTTTATCAAAGAAAATTTTTCCTCGCGTTCATGACTTTTTTCTAACTGTTTGTTGGCTGTGTTTTCTTTTTGATTTTTTTCACCATTTTTTTTAAATGAAAGTGATTTTGCATTGACTTGCTGACTTACTTCAGGTGTATTTTTCAACTCCGTGAAATCAGGGTTTCATTGTTCGTATCGCTTTACTTCCAATAAGCTCAATTTCTATCATTTTTCAGTGGAAACCTATGAATTTTTTTTCTGTCCTTGATGAGTATAACTTATGAGAACATAAATCCCTGATTTTAATTAACATGACACAACGAAAAATATTTATAATTTCAAGCCCGTTTTTCTCAAACTGGGTTAAGTTAGACAAAAAGTGAAATGAACAAAATTTGCTTAAAATTCCACCTGAATTATTATGGTGCAATTTGTTCTGCGGAATTTGCAATCAAAATTTAATTCAAATTTAAGTAATTTTGGCTTTTTCTATTTAATCAAGAATTACACTGAAACTACCAAGTTGATAGATTAAAAGTTATGTTTTCACTTACGAGCCTTAGTGTATTTTCACGGACCTAACTTGCAAATAAAAGTGTTCACTTATTTGGTGGTGGCGTTTTTGCTATAATCACGATCTGTAGGATTGGAAATTTCTTAGCATCTTTTCTCTGCCTTTATATGTGGCTAGTTTTTGTGATTAATTTTTTTCTGTGGCTGAGTGGTAAGTGCTTGAGACTCATAATCTCTAGATTGCAAATGAATCACAGACATAGTCGAATTTTTACTAATTTGAGGCTTATTTCTACTTTTTCTTATTGCACTTTATAGAGGTGCTTTTTGTCGTGTTCTCGCTAGTGTTTGCGAAATGCAGCTTCGCCTCTGTTAAAAAGAAGCCTCGTACCCAGCCCAAAAAGCTGTAGAGGGGTTAAACTTCCAAAAATCTGTATAAGAGAATATATTTTTGGTTCATAGCCAAAAAAAGGTCATTTTTCATTTTTGTTATAAAAAATTTTTCAATATTTTACAAAAATGTTAAATGCTTTACTCAAATTTTGAAAGTTTTACTCTTCTAAATATTTGTTTGGCTGCATATGAGGCTTCTTTTGAGATCATCTTGGTTTCAGCGTAACTCTTGATTAATTAGAAATAAGCCAGCCGAAATGACCCATTGTTGGGGAGAAATTTTGATTAAGAAATTCAAAAAATATTGCACCGTAATAATTCTTTTGAAATTATAAGCCATTTTCCTCCCCTTGTAGTTCAATTTCAACACAATTTGAAAAAAAAAACACAATTTGAAATTTCAAATTTTGTTCGTTTTGTCCGTATAATTTAAATCAGCTCTGTTGATGATCTGCGACTTCTATGCAAAATTTGGAGCTAATTCTGCACTTTGTTAGAAGATGTTGAAATTGATGTGACGTTGACATTTCAGAACCGGCAGCGCACTCCCGACTCAGACTACGGAGGAAGCAGCTTCCACAGTCACAGCGCGTTTCTCATGTCCTCCTCCTCAGTTGCAAACTCACCCTTGATGTTCTCGTCTACAGCTAATCAGAATCAGGGCAATAATAACCATAATTACCTACAACAGGGTCTTACTCAGCCGGAGAATTCAGCTGCCTCTTTATACCAAGACTCAGCTGGCCACAATTCGCAAGAAAAGCAGCCGACTCCAAGGAAAAAGGAATCATCCAAGAGGTAGTTGCTAAAAACTTTTCAACAAACTGTCAATGTTTTAAATTACGTCCAAGTTTGTTTTCGAGCTAGAAAGGTTCATATGCACCATTTCCGCAATCAAAAGTACATTGAAAGCAATGTGCATCGATTTCAATCTAGCTAATATTCGATACTTTTTTAGAACATCTTTGACTTCCGAACACAACACAATTTCCAGAAAAAACTCTCAGAGAAATAGTTCGTCGTCATCACTGAACAAAGTCCCAGGAAATCAGAGATCACCTGTGAGGGTCAACAGCAGCCGGCGATGAATAAACAAACTCGCTTACTGAAATCTGTTTGAATTTTTTTCTTCTCTTGTTGTCTATCTGTATTTTTATCTATCCTTAGTTTGAATTCGTTCGATGTAAATATGTAACGTAAGATTGTGTGTAAATACAGTATTACTTTGTAAAAGTGAGAGATGGTGTTTCTTATAAAAATTAGAGTTGATTTGTTGTGTGGTTTTTCTACAGTTATTGTACAGATGATGTGCTTGTAAAATAAATTTGGCTACACGTGATTAAGAAACAAGTTTGCTAAATGTTTTCACTGCTCTCTGACATGTCGAATTGTTTTTAAGAGTAATGAACGTAGTGGGTACGGTAACTTCCCAAATGGCATAAAAATCAAACTTTTCCCAAATGGCATAAATATAAAGTTTTCATTGTGATTCAAACATTTTTTATCAATTTCTAATTTGGATCTACTTAACAATCGCATTCACTTTAGTATCTACTAAAGAATTGCAACCCCTATAATTAAAAGCAGTAAATTAGCACTAGAACGTTGCATTTAAAATTCGATTTTTGCTGCAATCTGATTGGCCGAAAATTCGACAACTTAATCTTATCAATTGCCCCCCTTTCTTGAAAGGGGGGCAATTGTTAAGTAGATCCTCTAATTCTAACAATTTGTCAGGAACGAAAGCATGTGAACAAGGTTTGGAATTAATTGCTTCCAAACAAATGTTAATAGTTAATTTTGTCGGGAAAAGTGAACACAAGAAGCTTATCAATAACCGCAATCTTATGCTTTTCGATTTTGATAAAAATTTTACAATTTTTTCAAGATAAAATTTCAATCAACATTTGAATTGAAAACTTGAAAAATTTCCCACATTGTTCACAAAAAAGTTGCTCTCAATTTTCTTAATGCATTTGTTTTTTTTCCATTTTTATGCCATTCGGGAATTATGCAATTTGAAACGTAATCTTGGGTACTCTTATAATGATCTTGCTGATTTTTTTTTTCAGGAATAAGTCTTAAAATTTGTTCATGCTGATTCGATTTTTTTGCGGTTTGACTTGTGATGTTTTTTAAGTTCAGTGCATTTCCATTGTTAAAAGGATGGCAAACTCCACTATCGAACAGCAAAACTGTAAAGGTCACGAAAAACGTGATCGACTTCTGATTTTGAAAATGGAAATTAATTATCAGATTTCCCAGCGAATTAAAGTTTTACGTGTTGATCCAGTTTTCTCAATTTGGTTAAATTTAACAAAAAAGTCAATCATAAATTGTTCTTCAAATTGAAAGAGCTTTAAGGTCATCTGTTTTTCGTTTTCGAAATTCAAAAGTTGAAGGCTCTCGAAAAAAAAAACAAGTCAGTTTTTTTCAGTTACCTTGCGTTCATTACTCTTTTCCAACTATTAGTTGGCTTTTTTTTTTAATCCGTCCCATACTCGTTCATTGAAGCAATAAGGAAACAGTAATTTTCCAGGTTTCCCTGAGTCAATTAATAATTCTTTGTGTATCGCAGCTCAAGGTTTCTGATTGTTTTTGTGTAACTCACCTTGTGCTCTGCCAGAACAATTTGGAAATGAAGCAGACTACGTTGAACTAAGCTACAGGTTGAGTTAAATTCCAGCGGTAAATTCTTCAAGTTAGGTGCTAATCATATTTTGGTTGCGACCATTGAAAATGGGGAGGAACTTTGTATTCGGGTGTTTAAATTTTTTCTTTTGTTTTTCTTGCAAAATCAGGTACCACAAATAATCATGGGTGGAATGATACATCATATTAAAGCACTTTTGTTCGAGATTTGAACGACATGAAAAAAATTTGGAGCAGCTCGACACACATGTTTACACTTGCGAGCAGCGTATGTTCATTTATTTGGTGACAATTTTGTTAGTAACACAATCTGTACCATTGGAAATTTCATAGCATCTGTTCTCTGATTTATTCGTGGCTAGTGTTCGTGATTATTTAGGCGTCCCTGGCACAGTGGTTAGTGCATTAGACGCATACTCTCTTGATCATAATCAGTCGGAGATCGAATCCGAGGAGTAGGCAAATTTTTACCAACTTCTTAGCCAATTGTATTAACACCGAGGCTTCTTCCCACTTTTTTCCTATTGCGCTCTGTGTAGATGCTTTTTGTCGTATTCTTGTTAGTGTTTGCGAAAAGAAGCTCCACCGCTGTGTTGAAATTTTTTTGGCCCAATTTTGTGCAAATGAAGTGAGCGAGCAGGTTATTTAGTTTTTAAAGGAGTTACTGGAATTCGAGCTGGATATGCCAGCTGCTTGTGTAACGAATGGTCGCAATTTTTTCAAAATAAAATGAAAAAAAGTCTGAATTTTTTAGAAAATATTTTGTGTTTCTTGTACTTTTCCGACATAACTAATGCCCAGTTTGCTCAGTTTTTGTGATTGTCGGATATGCCCAAGCTTTGGGCTATCGTCAGATACTTTTGTTATACCACGCACAAAAAACACTGCACAATTTCCTTCTTCCAATTAGTAAAACTTTTGTGCGTGGTTTAATTTTTTAAAGAACGTGGTCGGAACATTCTTTGTTATTTGCACAGCAATTGGTTATCCTTGTCTCAATTGTCTATTGATGAGGAGATTCTTTAAAAACTTGTTTTTTAGTTTTTAAATTTTTGAACAACTTTCTCTGCTATTTGATAGATCTTGTGTACGTTGGCTAGATGCGAATACTCCAATTGAAGTTGAATAAATGATTTTGTCTTTCCCAAATAATCTAGTTTAAAAAATAAACAGCAAAAAAGAGATTTTTCTCGAATGTGGAAATTTGATTTGAAAGTGTTGAAGTGCCAATGAACGTAGTGAAGTTACAGTGCTGATTTGCATCCTCCAGACAAAACTCAATAAACTTGAAAATTGAAACACGTTTTTCTCAAACTCGGTTGACTTTTAACGAAAAGAGATGAAAACAAAACTTGCTGAGAAATTTAGTTAATGAATGTGGTGGATTTTTTTTGCGAATTTTGGTTAGCTTTTTTAACCCAAAAACGGATCGTTTGTTTTTAGTTAATCAATAATTACGTCAAAACTACCGAATCAATTGCTAAAAAAAAACTTATTTCTATTTAGGCTTCCTTTTATCAAAATCTAAGATTTCTCCAGTGTAATCTCCAAAACATAGCAAAATTAGTTTCTTTTTTAATAGACAAACAATGTCATTGTTGTTTGAAAAACACGGATTAAAAACAAATTGTTTCAATCTTTGCGCAAGTTTATTAGGAGATCCTACTCTGCTGTAATTTTTTTGGCTACAGAAGGGGCTTACATTGTTAGCACTTTGACAAAACTTTTTTAAGTAATTGACTCAGTAGTTTTAGCCTAATTTTCAATTAACCAAAAGAACTAAAAATGATCTGTATTATGAAAAGTTTTGGGCCCAAATTGCAGATTTTTGCAGAAATTCGCAAGTTTTGTTTCCATTATTTTTCGTCTAAAGCCAAACTATTTTGAAAAATAATCTAATTTTCAATTTTACGACTGTCCGGAAAGTTTAACAGTACTTGTATTATGTCATGGTTAAGCTTGATATTTCCTGATAGTGATCATTTTTGAGTTCAATTCAAATTCAGTGATAAAACGTGAATGACCTGTTTTCTATACTGGACTTCAATTTTTTGAATTCCTAGTGGAATAAAGTTTTTTTGGTTGATCCAAGTAGGTTCACTTTTAATTAGACTGTGTCCTGTCAAACATGCAAGATTGAGCGAAGTCGAAAATGTTATTCTTGTAACTCGAAAATTGTAACTCAAAGTGTTTTCATCGGTTATCGTTTTACGCGGTCTCTTTTAATTCATATACACTTTGCTACTGTCTGTTGAATATGTTTGTTTTCATTGTTTCAACAGCAAAAATCACCAAAAATTGTTTTGACTGAAATTTAAGAAAAATCTAAGGAAATTTCATCGCCAAAATGGTCTGAGGTCATAAGCAGTTGTAACTCATTGCCAATTCACTTAATATGGAAAACAGTAAAATAGCGTAGAATGTTCCAACTCGAATAAATATTGCATTGCAAAATTATATAGCAAAAGGTTGACTTTTTAAATTTAAATGTAATGACTACACGTCAAAATTCCAAAAATAAGCAAATCAGTTTGTTATCAAATTAGCAATTTTCATCGTCAAAGAATTAAAACGTGAGTTTAAAAAGAATATAATTTTGGCCATCGATGGACATCAAAGTACTAAAATTTTCTTTTAAAAAAGTTAAAATTATGAGTTTCAATTTCTATATTTGAGTTTGTCCTGAAACAGAAAAACCAAAATGTTTCTGAAATACGACAAACTCTACTAAAAATGGCCAAAATTTTAATGATGATAATCAAAAGAGATTTGCCATCTAAGATGAAGCGTAGAATTTCACACTGAACTATAAAAAACAGAATTTTTCATACATGACTACAAATCTTCAAGTTGAAAGATTCATTAACTGATTTTTTGACAGATTTAAGTTTTATCTCCGCACAAGAAAATGATAATTGTTTTAAACTTGGCTTTGCACAAAACAGTCAATGTGATTTTTGGCTCTCTCGTGTGGAAAATTGAGTAGATTACGGTAAGGTTTTAAAATTACAATTTTGCATTTGCAAACAAAATGCTGGTAATGCCATTACCATATAGGGTCAAACAATTTGCGTATAGAAGGAGAAATTTCAGACCAGTTTTCTCATAAATACATGAGAAATTTATGGCCAGCTTTTTGACATGGATAAGTTGTATGGAATTGTATGACTAGCGTTTTCGTTTTATGGAGGGAGTTCAACACTTCAGACCAGTTTTCTTCTCAATGAGACATATTCTTGAATTAAAATTCCAATCCAAAAAACTTCATTATGGCACCGTACCTGACGCCACCGTGAAGACGTCGGAAAAATACAGCAATGAGAAATTGATGAAATTTACTTGTGTGAACTAAAAAGCATTTCAAATTTTGTTAGTAACTTGAAACCTCTTCTTCGACCCCACCCCAACCCTCCACTCCAGTAAAGGATATTTTTTGTTGCTACAACCAGATACTGCATTAATAGGAAGATTATTTCATTATGATAACCATTCTGTATTATATTTTTGGAGTTTTGAAGCTCAAGGTAGAGCTTAATGACTACTCATTCATAGTTCCAAAGACGCTGACAATCGAATGGTTAAACTTCGTTAGTGTCTATCTCTCCAATTTACCATTTCTGAATCGAGTTTAAGCTAACTCGACCTCAATGTAGAGCCACCAAATTCTGTCATCATCTTTGTATCGCTATTTGAACAGATGCAATTATGACTCGCAACGTCATCTCACGTCTATGAATTGAATGTTTCTCCTCGATACCTCGAATATTTATAGCATGTATTCAGTGTTCAAACTATATATAACAGCTCCATGGTGTGTAACCTGAGTCGCACGTTGATTATACCAAGACTTGAATTGGTTTTATTTGTGATTAATTTCAAATTGGCACAATTGATATTAATAGATGGTGATATTTATTTCATAGCTTTTCAGTGCAAACAGCAAAAACATGTCAAGAGGTCGCAGCACAAATTGACATGTCTTCATTTCAGTACGACCCAGTTGCACTTATTAGCCCATTATTATAACTTTTTAATGAAAACACTAGCTTATTACCAACCAATGAACATCGAGTAATACCCTTTTTTGTCTCAGAAAGCCTCGCAAAATTGAGAAGAAACGACATTTGTTGCTGTCATTTCTCATGAAGATAAAACCAACGATTGTTTATAAATGGTAACCTCAACCACAGTATTGATCTATTTAATCTAGATCAGCAATATACCGGAAACCTTATTGGATCTCTTAACAAAAATAACAATTAGACTATGATCGATTTATGTAGAATTGACTTTGGGCTTCATTAAATAAAGTTTGATGGCCATTTTTGTTTTGAAAACAAAAGTATAGTTTGAATAAGTTACAAATCTTTCATTTGTGGAAGATACAGAGGGCGATCTTCAAATTTATTTGTCACCTATATAAATTATTATTTGCAGTATTGTTTACTGAAACAGTTAGTTGTTTTAGTTGTACCTAGTGATTATTATATTTTGCTTCAGAGCGTAAGTTTTCTGCATCACTTATTAAAAAAAAAGAATATTTTCAGCATCTCAAATTTACACAATGATGTTAAGAGTTACCCTTCTCGACTTGTCCTCCCTCTCATTCTTCATTATTATCTTCGGAAAGTCGGACGCCTCCTGTTTCAAGTAATTTGTGTTCCTTTTTTGTAGCTTAGTTGACCCAAGGATGTATGGAGTTACTTTCTTTCTATTCTTTCTTTCTGATGGTTTTAAGTACCATTTGGTTGCGAATAACTGACAAAATCAAATGGTAATTTTGTCATTTTTCTGGCTAACAGTTTGTTTTAGAAAAATTTTTGAATCATCTTGTACCTGGATCATTAATATATACTATGATCTTCGCTTTTCTGGCACACTTGATCTCAAATTAATCCCCGGCAGAGGTCCTCGGCTGGAATCCGGCCAGTACCTATGTTTTTCAAACTGACATCAATACGTTTCAAAACAAATTTCGGCTTACTGTTGACTGGATTTTGATTTTTCGGTTCAGTTGCTTTATTCTGCTTTAATTTTTTCTTCAACATTAAGTGTTTAAATCTTGAGATCTCATTCATTAAGAAAACGTTTTCTCCTATTGATTATTGATTTTAATATTTCATTAACGTCTAAAGATATCTTATGCAGAATTCTAAGGAAAAAGCATTTTTAGATACCTAGCGGTTGATATCTTGCGGTTGACATAAAAATCTAAGAATAAAAGAAGACTGCATTTTCGTATCTCTTGCGATGAGTGTTTTACAATAAACGTAAGAAAAAATGTATTTTGATATCATTTGCTTGAAGAAGAAACCGCGTTTCTTATCATTTTTATCAAATTGGGTTGATATTAGAAAAAAGATACGAAACGAAACTTGCTTAAGTTCTTAGCTAAACTATTATGGTGCAATTTATTTTGCAATATTCGCGCTCAAAATTTTGCCTCCAGGTGAATAATCTTTTTTTACTTTTCAGTTGATCAAAAGTTACGCCAGAAGTACCGGATCAATTGCTGACAAAATTATATCAAATAGTGTCTTGTTTACAGCACAGCATGTTTTGCCCTCAAATATTTATTTTCACGACTCGCAGCTACAAAAAATTGTTTCAAATTGAAGTTAGCATAGGCAGTAGGCAAAGAACTACAATGCTACCATCATTGTAATTTTCTCACTTTAAGACAAACGGTCAAATTTGTACAAGCCAAAAGACTGGATTGTTTTGACTCCTTTTTAAAATATCTGCTGATGTTTTATCAAATCCGTGAAACCTTCAATTTTTTTTTCGGATTCTTCGATTTGAAATGGTTTATATCGCACTACACCCTACGTACAACCTTACGCAACCTTCTATGAATTGTTCGCGGAATCCGCAACATTGCTAGTTTTTTTTCTAATATGGATTCCTTAAACCAAGAGCTTAACTACTGTATTGCTCAAAATTACTCCAAAAACTAACGAATATGTTAAATTCGCAACAAAAAACTCGGTATCGACAATAAAGTTTGCGGAATCTGGAACAGTTTGCAGAGTCAACCAAAAATAAAAATAGATGTGTGTTGTAAAAAATTACGGTGTCGCGGAGCCCGCAACCCATAGCCGAACACGCAATTTGTAATCGGAATCCGCAAATTATAAGCAGAATGCGCAAACTCTAAGTTGATTCTGCAGATTCCTCTTTTATTTTGCCTACAATTTGAGGATTTCTTGTACATTCGCAAAATCCGCAACAACTAGTCATAATCGCTTGTTGCAGAATCCACGAGAAATTTTTTGTGCCGTCGAAGTTTTTTCAACCGTATTTGAGAACGGAATCAACAGAAGTTTTGTAACTTTGGGCTCGCAATTTATGGAAATTTTGTAAGTGGAGTTCTTTTTATATTTATGGATACCTGCAGTAGTTGTTTTTCAAATACGCATAACTTTCACCAAAAAATTTCTTCGCTTTCTTTTGCTTTGTTCTTAAAAACTTCAACACACAATGTCAAATATAAAATGTTAATCTTATCGCTAGAACTGAGTTGTATAGAATTAGTTGGTTTGGAATGATTTAACTCGCATTATACGCTACGTACAACATTCGGAGGGCAAACGTTGCATTCTGTGATTTGTACGAGGAATCCGCTGCACTGCTAGTTTTCTGTGATAATTATTTTTTTCTGGTTTGATTCCATAAACACACAAGTTAACGACTGTACTGTTCAAAATCACTTCAAAAACGGGCAACTTTGCGGAATCCGCAACAAATTTGACGGAATTTGTATAATTTTTTGCGGAAGGTGGAATAATTTGTGGAATCCACAAATAATTAATAATAAATAAGAATTGTAAGAATCGCGTTGTCGCGGAACTCGCAAATTGTAGCTAGAATCTGAAAATTGCAGGCGAAATGTGCAAAATGTAAGTAAAATCAGCAGATTCTGCTAACATTTTGCGGATTCTGCCTAAAATTCGTGGATACTCCTTAAAGTTTACAAAGTCCACTTACGTTTGCGGAATCTGGAGCAACTAGTTATATTTGCTCGTTGCTGAACCCGCGACAAAATTTATATGTCAACAAAAACTTTGTTACACGTACTTGAGCGCGGAATTTTAAAAAATGTAAGCTCAGGAACGGAATTTCCGGAAATTTTGTTAGTGGAATCTTTTTTATTTTCATACATGTCTGATAACTTGCATTTGGATTCAAATGAACTGCAAAAATAAAAAAAAGTTGCATTATATCAAAACTATTTTTTTGCTTGTATAATTGTACCCTCAAGCGCATCATTTTGACTTTTACTCAATCAAAAATTACACTAGAAACATCGGATCAATCGCTGACAAAACTATTTCAAAATGAGCCTCCTTCTTCATAGCCCAAAATATCGCCTTCATTTATTTGGTTGCACATTTCAAAATAACAAAATAAATTTCAAACTGAAGTTAGGATGTGCGTAAAACAGAGGACTTTTATTTTATCATCATAATTTGTCAAGTCTGCTCAGGAGAAAAGCCTGTTTTAAGTTCTTTTTAAAATACCTGCATTGTTTTTTTTTTCAATTTTAATCGGAGTCAGCCAATTAGAATCGTAATTTGCAAAAAGTGAGAAGATTCTGCAGATTCCGCTTTCATTTTGCGGATTCCGCCTGCTTTCGTTTACATTCGCGGAACCGGTGCAGCTAGTTATAAATGCTCGTTGCGGAATCCGCGAGAGAACTAATGTGCCGATAAAGTTTTTGTTAAATGTATTTGAGCACATAATCCACAAAATTTTGTAAGTTTGAGCGCGGAGTGCATGGAAAATGTGTAATTGGAATCCTCTAACATTTTGGAACAAGTTTAAAGACTTTTCTTTGGGCGCTATTGACCTACAGACATGAAATTGTGCTCCTATCCAGTGCGCAGTTTGGCCTCCTAATAAATTTGTAAATTGGTAAAAAAAAGAGTAAAATTTATCCCAAATTGGCCATTTTTTTTCATTGTAAGAAACCTAAAATATATATAAAAATTAGTGTCATTTGAATACTGTTTTTTTTTTTGCTGGTGAAAAATAATTTAAAGTTTTGGATTTGTGTTTAGGAAGCCTGAAGTAACTTTTCCCGAGCTAGGTTTTAGTCCTTACTCAGGTACTTACATATAGCGACCACAATTTGGTTTTTTAAATATTTATGTTGCATTCATGAATGCATAACTAACTGGTCGGAACTTTTTGTGCTACTTGCAATTGGGTGAGCAAAGTCTTCAAAACGAAATCTAAGTAGAGCCTCCTTTAAGAATGAGCAAGAAACGACATTTGCTTTAATGCAAATGTCGTTTCTTGCTCATTCTTAAAGGAGGCTCTACTTAGATTTCGTTTTGAAGACTTTGCTCACCCAATTGAGGTCTGATTACAGAACCTAAACCTTATTCAGCCTCTTCAGTTTTTTCTCTTCTCCCTCAGTTTGATGTTTGTCTATTTTTATTATTTTGGTTTCATTTGGAATGCCAGAGCAATTGTTTTGGCAAAAAAAATATTGGTTAGCATATTTGTAGAAGTGAAATTTGTAGACCTGGTACACCCCACCTCAATTGTTTGCCACATAAAAAAATTGTACAGTTTTTGCTTATGTTTTACGAGTTGAGTGCAATTTTAATCTCTTTGTTTTTAGAAACACTACACAGCCGTGCTGCAATGGCTACTTCATGAGTGAGGTTGACAACTTCTGCGTTGCAAGTACGTGTCATTTTTTCTCAGTAACTTTACCCATAACAACTAAATTGTCCCCATTTGTTGCACTTTATAGCATAACAATCATAAAAAATTGTTTCTGGGAAAATGCGTTTTCAGTTAATTTTTTTTACAACGACAAGTCCGTTAAATCAGTGAACAATTTCACGATTTTGTTTTGAATCATCTGTCTGTCTTCTATTTTTTTCCTTTCTGTACGGTGTACTGGAGAATTTTTTTTGCCTGTTTGCCGTTCATTTATGGTAATTGTATTTCGAAGGGGAGTAACAAATGAATCAAATTTTTGCAACTTCATAAAAAATAGCAAGTGTTTTTCAGCCGAGTACAAGACTTTTTCCAGTTAAAAAAGCTGATTGCAGGATGACTGAAATTGGTTATCTCCAATTTTAGTCATGCAGATTATTTAAACTATAATTAAGTTCCTGATAAAGTCCCGCACTGGAATTTTATAAAGTCGATAATTTAAGTTTTATTGTCAAAATCTAAAAAAATTATAATAAAATAATCAGCTAAAAATGAAGTTTAAAATGAGAATCTGCTAACATCAAAATGGGGCTGGAAAGAGCCAATTAATGTACAATGGATTTTATTAGATGGATTTTAATATAATCCAAGGGAAGCCCTGGACTGTATCAAAATCCGTTTAATAAAATCCATTGTGCATTAAATGGCTCTTTTCCAGCCCCACTTTGATTTTTGCAGATTCTCATTTTACAAACGTCTGTTTAAAGTTGCTTTCAATCTCCAAACTGTAATTAAAAATATCAGTATGAACAAGTGAACAAAATTTCAAAACTTTTTTTTACATGGAAGTTTCCGTATGGAAAATTTTAAAATATTTTTATTTTGCAACTTTACGAAGAGGTGGGAAACAGGAAAAGAGACTATTAATTCTAATCTATGAATTTCCGCTGATAAATATTAGTATCTAGGATTTTCTCGAGATGGGGCTGATTTTCAAAAAAAAAATGAACAAATATGGCGATTTTTTTTAGGTGGACCAAATTGATTTCCTGAGTTCTCCAAAAAGCCCTATAAGGCAATATTTTTTAAACGTTTTGTGCAGAAGGCAAGTTTTTGAAATATTAGGTCAAAAACTGCCCAAAAATTGCGTAATATATATGAACGGTACGGGTGAATGTACGTATGCACTTACAATTCCACTTGGAACCAGATCTAAACTAGTATTTATCATTGGCTATTATTATGATATTTTATTTTATCTCTATGAAATATTAAATACTAACCAATCATACTCCATCAAACTAACAGCCCACTTATTTATAAGTGTTGAAACTACTTGTAGTTTCAACACCAGAGCAATTTGAATTAAACTTAGAATACAGTTATTCTCATTCTGGAACTAACTCGCATAAGCCAGTATACTCTAGATCTATTGAGCCTAGCAGAGATTAGTTAAACACCCTGAGACTAGTAGATATAAAAGTAAGATTAGGATCGGTATTAGACTAAGAAGTTGCACGAATCTATCCGGCCGAAAATAAGATAGCGTGACGAGCAGACGGTGTACCCTATCCGAAATTACTCTATGAGTTAGAGATCCATCCTAACTCATCTGGTGCGACCAAAAAGTCTCGAACAGACCTTAACTAACCTAGATTTAGAAAAATAGTATTAGACAAATACAACATTAAAAAAAATGTTAAGTGACAAAAATTTAGTAGAAATGTCCCCACGACTCAATAGATCACAGCCAATTTTCCGAACACATCGAGAACTACCCAGTATTGGAAGAAGACCACGGACAAGAGACGACGTACGACTAGGAAGAAATCTATCAATCGATTTCATGATTGTACGACAAAAACGAGATCAAACTTCTATATTTAGAATACTTCCACCAGTAAATTCAAATTTTCATTTACTGACATAGTGTTTGAAAAATTATCTTCAATAAATTTTCATGGCGCTAAACCTATTAATTATACAATAACGACTGATAAAAACAACACTTGTCGTTTTCCTTAAATCAGCTGTAAGTTAAATAACATCTTGAAAACATATTTAATGAATATAAAATACAAAAATTAGTTAGTATAAAGCATAATTGTTAGTATAAATAAATCATCCTTTCATCCCAGCTTTGTCACCTAAAATATAACAGCAAATCTCAAAACATTAACATCATCAAAACTAAACACTTAATTTTTTCTTCCTTTAAACCTTTACCTAAAAGTTATCAAGGCCTATTCTTGTTTTCACTTAAATTAAATTCACTTAAAATAACAGATCATCAAGGCTTCCCTTGGATCTTCAAATTAATTTCACTTAAATTAAAATAAATTAACTTTATCTAAATATTCTGATCATCATGGCTTCCCTTGGATCTTTAAATTAATTTCACTTAACATAAAATAAATTATCTTTATCTAAACATTCAGATCATCAAGGCTTCCCTTGGATCTTTAATTCACCTTTATCTCAATTAAATTTCATTTCATTAATTTTATATCCTGATCATCAAGGCTTATCCTTGGATCAAATAGAACAATTTTGTTCTCCCCCACACATTTAGTAAAGTGTCTAACGACCTCAAACGTCGATTCACTACCCAACCCTTCCTCAAGACCCAGGACTAACAGAAATTTTTCAATCAAACTAACCATTCTAATTAGGATAAACAGTGAAGAACTTCGGTTATTCATCCTTCACTTGACCCCCCCCCCCTCTTACCTGACCCAGAATACTACTTAAACTTAGTTAGTTTAAAATAGTATCTAACGAACTACTTGTGTTCTAATTATACCTGAACCTTGTGGATCGATTTACTATTCTCCAACCCTTGAACACAATCACTACCCCTGAGTAAGATTAAGTAAGTTAACACCTTAACTTAGACTAGCCACGAGAAAGTAAAAATCATTGTTCGGAATCAATATACGCTTTTCTCTCCAACCCATCAATACGACCCAAAATAAGCTAACCACAAAAAATTGTAAGAATTAACAGTTTAAGACATTGGAAATCATTAACCCAAATATTGCATCGATCATCCTAAACCTTATGTCAAGAGATATTTTAGGAAACAAACAAACACTCATAATACACAATTGTTTAATTAACGACAAAAATCACACCACACAGACTAACAATAGTATACATAAGAACAAAAAGACAAACACTAAGAAAGAAATTATTAACAAACAAAAACAAATTATTAGGAAACGATTTTCAAAACGAAGAAACGCAACTACCAAAAAACTGAATTTAAAAGGTGACACCAATTAAGTTACAGAAAATCCGACAATAATTGTCCGTAAATGTTAGACACCATTTTGAGCACAAAAAAATAAAGTTTAAGACACAAATTGCACGAAAAACCCTCGAAAAACAGGCAAAAAATGGCACAATTTTTAATGGACTTTAGGTCAAATTTTTCAATTTTTCCCTAAAATCGTGAAACCTTATTTTACGAGACGCAAGATAAAGCCTATAAGACCCAGATTAGTTAATAAAAGCAGCCCCAGAAGATCAACAGAGAAAAATTCGCGTCCCAACCCAAACCTCTGAAATCCACCAAAAAACAAGAAATTTGGACATATTTTTCCAAACTATTCAAAACTAGAGAAAAAAATCAAAATTCTAAGCATGTTGGGCCCTAGAAATGACCCTTGGCTATGACTAGGATGAAAAATTAGATGAATATCCTGATCATCAGGGCTTATCCTTGGATCAAATAGAACAATTTTGTTCTCCCCCACACATTTAGTAAAGTGTCTAACGACCTCAAACGTCGATTCACTACCCAACCCTTCCTCAAGACCCAGGACTAACAGAAATTTTTCAATCAAACTAACCATTCTAATTAGGATAAACAGTGAAGAACTTCGGTTATTCATCCTTCACTTGACCCCCCCCCCTCTTACCTGACCCAGAATACTACTTAAACTTAGTTAGTTTAAAATAGTATCTAACGAACTACTTGTGTTCTAATTATACCTGAACCTTGTGGATCGATTTACTATTCTCCAACCCTTGAACACAATCACTACCCCTGAGTAAGATTAAGTAAGTTAACACCTTAACTTAGACTAGCCACGAGAAAGTAAAAATCATTGTTCGGAATCAATATACGCTTTTCTCTCCAACCCATCAATACGACCCAAAATAAGCTAACCACAAAAAATTGTAAGAATTAACAGTTTAAGACATTGGAAATCATTAACCCAAATATTGCATCGATCATCCTAAACCTTATGTCAAGAGATATTTTAGGAAACAAACAAACACTCATAATACACAATTGTTTAATTAACGACAAAAATCACACCACACAGACTAACAATAGTATACATAAGAACAAAAAGACAAACACTAAGAAAGAAATTATTAACAAACAAAAACAAATTATTAGGAAACGATTTTCAAAACGAAGAAACGCAACTACCAAAAAACTGAATTTAAAAGGTGACACCAATTAAGTTACAGAAAATCCGACAATAATTGTCCGTAAATGTTAGACACCATTTTGAGCACAAAAAAATAAAGTTTAAGACACAAATTGCACGAAAAACCCTCGAAAAACAGGCAAAAAATGGCACAATTTTTAATGGACTTTAGGTCAAATTTTTCAATTTTTCCCTAAAATCGTGAAACCTTATTTTACGAGACGCAAGATAAAGCCTATAAGACCCAGATTAGTTAATAAAAGCAGCCCCAGAAGATCAACAGAGAAAAATTCGCGTCCCAACCCAAACCTCTGAAATCCACCAAAAAACAAGAAATTTGGACATATTTTTCCAAACTATTCAAAACTAGAGAAAAAAATCAAAATTCTAAGCATGTTGGGCCCTAGAAATGACCCTTGGCTATGACTAGGATGAAAAATTAGATGAATATCCTGATCATCAGGGCTTATCCTTGGATCAAATAGAACAATTTTGTTCTCCCCCACACATTTAGTAAAGTGTCTAACGACCTCAAACGTCGATTCACTACCCAACCCTTCCTCAAGACCCAGGACTAACAGAAATTTTTCAATCAAACTAACCATTCTAATTAGGATAAACAGTGAAGAACTTCGGTTATTCATCCTTCACTCTTTCAATTGCGCTAGGGAGAAACTTTTTAAGATTTCAATAATGTGAAAAACAAAGAAAATGCAAAGTGAAAAAAAAAATTGTATGATAATAGAGTTTGAGCGTAGCAGTACTTTGCACCCCGATAAACACGCACTGCAACCTCCACTGAATATATGGACACCTATTTAGTATTATGCAAGGATTGCTTAACATGCCAATCAAACAAAAAATACACAAGTTTATTGTCAACCCACTATAAAATCAATATGTTATAATCTACCACTACATACCCACGATGAAAATCACTTTCATCATCCACAAATTTTAAAATGAGCTTCCTGTTCACACACCGAATGAATTTTAAGCAGAGACAAAAATCACAACAAAAATTACCAGAAAGTAAAAAAAAATTATTACAAAGACAAAATATTAATTCCCAAATAAATTCCCGATTTACCCCAGCTAAAAATTTAAAAGTCGTAACATATGTTTTAATTCCGAATTTTACAACACAAAGGAATTTCTAAAAAATTACAACCACTCCGAAGAGGACCGTATCAAATAATTGATAAACCCACTGATGTAACATACAAACCTTTAGGCTTAAGCAAAACAAAAATCGTTCAACATCGAAACAACCTTTTACCTTATTACCCAAAAGAGTACGCACTTCGAGAACTTACTCAACTATACTCTTTTACATGACTTAAAGATATTCAAAATAGCTCAGAACAACATCAAAATCAAAGCACTGATATGTCCCCATCTAAAAACAATTAGATAAAAAGGACAAAGAACTTCCCAAACAAATATCAAAAAACTTAGACAACAAAAAAAATCACTCAAACAGAAAGAAAAAATCGAAAACTAGAAGAAAAAATTATACCACAAGATCGAAAAGAAAAATCTCCACATAGACAATCATCGCGACTTCGTAATCAGCCACGAAAAGATTACAAAACATTCATCCCCCAATCTAAAATATTAAGGAAAGTTGAATTTCAAAAACCACTTTAAATTAATGAACATTTTCACCTCTTGAAGATATTTTCATGGACCAAACATTTTCTCAAAATTCATGCTGGAAGGCTTTTGAACAAATTAATTCAATTTCAGCCAATAAGAACTTTTCCGAATCTTCGCCCCATTTTCGACACGACTTCTTTAGCCGACAAATAATAACCTTCAAGCGTATCTCTAACCATAACTTTAAGACCTCCGGGTCAGAAATAAGCAACCCGCTCAAATTTGACAACTGAAATAAACCAAACCTCAAAATTGCAACCCTCTCCTATCAACTAGAACAAAAATCAACAATATTGTCCCAGCTTAGACCTCGAAATACCCTCAAGCAAAAATATTAAATTAACTTAAAGAACAAAATCGACATGATCATTTAGCCTAAAGTACAAATAATTCTCAAATACCCCCGATCATCCAATAAATAAAAATAAAACTAGGAAGTCCCTTAATAGCCCTCCAAACTTCCCCTCACCAAAAATTGCTTAAACCGAACCTACTTGGCAAAAAACCAATAAATAACCAGACCACACTCGAATTGCTTTGGCCACTTCTCCAAACTAAATACATCATTTGCTTACTAGCTAAACTAACCCCGACGAATAAGTTAAGTACGAATTAAATAAATTATTCTAATAAATTCGAAACAAAACTAACCAATCTTAATAAATGTTTTCTTTTTTTCTTTAGTCTTCACAGGTACGATCATCAATCATCTACAAAAGAGAAAAACGAAACAAAAAACAGAAAACTTTTTTCTAAAATCATAAATTTAGATGAACCAATTACAATAAATGAAGCAGTAAAATTTACCCCCAAAACAGCATTAAATTGATATATGAACTCTTTTCCCATATGCAGTAAATATTCTTAAAATGAAAATAAATTGATAATTTCAACTCCCCCAAATAAAGCCGTCAAATTAATAATTTCAAAGTAGTAAATTTAAAAAAATTGCCTATAAAATTAAAGCAGTACTAACCTTTTCAAAGACGCTTCTTTGTAGTTTTAAATTTTCACTCGCCCATAAATTCTATCCAAATTCGCACTGCTCGCCCACAAAGATTTGTTTAAAATAATGAATTTACTTTTTAACTTTCACTGATAATAACTTTAACCAGTTTTAACATTTCAAATTTTCCTTTAACCCGGTTGGAAAGGAATTATGTAATAATCCAAACTAACCAACGCAAGCTTACTAAACACCACAAACTACAACCTAACAGCATGATTAAGAAAAGAAAACGCACGGTACTCAAACCGGATTAAAACAAGCTTACAACTGGATATATTATTCTCTCAAAAATAACCGAACTAAAGAAGAACGCTTTTGCGATAAAAATTAATACAAGATCATAACTAAAAACAGAATTAACAAAGATTTGTATATGTAAATGATACAATGCAGTATATAGATTACATACAGCCCAAAGACGAGCAGCAAGGAATTTGACAACCCAATCACACTCCAACTACGGAATAGCAAAATACACCCGATATGCTGCCTACAGTCACTACACTCAACGGATTAAAGTACGACTTGGCATCGCAGCAAAGGAAACCCATTGCGACAGAACAATTGCCATCTCGATGTTCAAGTATACGTACAGATCCAAGTCACCAGGCAGTGCATCCAAAGTCGAACTAAACGACACTCTCGAATGTGATTAGACCATTCCTATTCTCTAAAATCAACCAGTACCAGAAAAAAGAGTATGCTCGCAACATCTAAAGAAAAATCACCATCATCCATCCTACACTACAATAAGAACATTGATAAACTAAAACTCTCTAAACCCCGGATGGGTGGAACCAGATCTAAACTAGTATTTATCATTGGCTATTATTATGATATTTTATCTCTATAAAATATTAAATACTAACCAATCATACTCCATCAAACTAACAACTCACTTATTTGTAAGTGTTGAAACTACTTGTAGCTTCAACACCAGAGCAATTTGAATTAAACTTACAATACAGTTGTTCTCATTCTGGAACTAACTCGCATAAGCCGATATACTCTAGATCTATTGAGCCTAGCAGAGACTAGTTAAACACCCTGAGACTAGTAGATATAAGAGTAAGATTAGGATCGGTATTAGACTAAGAAGTTGCACGAATCTATCCGGCGGAAAATAAGATAGCGTGACGAGCAGACGGTGTACCCTATCCGAAATTATTCTATGAGTTAGAGATCCATCCTAACTCACACTGCTGGGGCAAGGGGTGGGGTGCAAACCTTGTGGGTTGGTGTTGTGGGGGGGGGGGGGTGGTGGAAGGGGGGAATGGTGGAAGAGGGGGATTGGAAGGGGAGGGGAATCATTTTACGACGCGGTGTAGGTTTAGAAATCAAGTAGGCCGTGCAGTCAGATCAATTTGCAATTTTTTGCATTACGCATCTGATAAATTCAGAAAACAGGAAACAAAAAATTGATTTCCCAATCTATTGGTTTTAATTTTAAAGAAATGGAGTATATTAAATCAATGAATTATAATCGTGTTTATTCATTTCCTTGTCTGAGGGTGACATGAGATTTGATCATATTGGCTGCATTTTAGACCATAAAAATCCATAATAATTGATTTTTTTTTCTAATTAGATGTGGAGTGGTTGCGTATCGTGCAAAAAAAACTTTACAAGATAAAAATTCGTCCCAATGGGTTTTGTATAGTTCTGTGTAAGCTTCAAATGGAGGCAGATGATACCGCAACTGTTCGTGATTGGCTGACAGCTAAAATAGTTTTGTTCAGAATAATTTTTCAACAATTTTTTGGCTATCATTGTCATCTCCTAATTGTGAGAAAGCAATAAAAAGAGTTTGATGATAGCGCAAACAATCCAAATCGTGTGGCTAAATGGTTTCCAGAAGATTTGTGATAAGCTCGATTTAGGACTGTTTTGAAAAATATAGCCGACGATTTTTTCTACAATGTTTAATTTCAAATTTTTTAATATTTGATTTTTTAAGGTTTCCTCGTATACGGAAGCAATGAATGACTTCCATTATAAAGTAGCTTCTAAAATTGACCTTTAATGTTTGAAACAATGAGCTTTTTCGCTTTATTTTTTTTTCTCTAATATTCTCTACCCGTACTGAATTTTTGCAGTAAAATCAGATCTGGTCACTGTAAAAGCTTGAGTTTTTCAGGACTGCTACAGATCTGAAGCATGTCTATTTTATGCATGCGCATATCTTGACACAAACCTACCGCAGACCTGATAATTTCTGAAAAGCTGTAAGAGTTTGGATTTAAAACGTTGTTTATTTGTTGTAACATAAATCAGAAGCTGTTTTAGGCGGCAAATAAATAATTTCAAAAAAGATCGAAATTCAACAACAAATTAAATTTTTGGAAATTAGAAAAGTTTTCGATATCTGTTTGTTGTAATGAAATGTAAAAATATTTCAACATTATCTATGGTGTTTTGATTCGCTCACTTTTTAAACATTTGTTTGCTCTGATGGGTCTATGAGTCAGAATCAAAAGCATGTATGATCAGATCTGATTCAAAGCTGAGCACCTCTGATTCAGATCTGATCACTTCTATGGGAAAGTTTTTTTACAAAGTCTAAAAGCTTGCACGCAAGCTCAGGACTGGTTTTTATATGTTCACCTATTAAATGACGAAAAGGTGAACTAAGGTGATTTTGCATGAAAAGATTGCTACGGATAAGTTTTAATTCGAGAATTAACTAATGCAAGGCGGGCAATGCGCAGCGCATGTAAAATTAAATCATCAATCGTATAAGAGTTATGATTTGAAATTTTTCAAGCAAAAGTTGGTTCAAAATATTGAAATAGTTTTCAATCAGTATTTATAGTTACTGCATTAACTGCCGCTTGAACGCTGCAACACGTTCTTTCTTGACTATATCAACGTAGTACTCTATAGGTTTCTTCGGAACCGCCACTTGATGCGTTTTGGTCTCGTTGCGAGACCGTTCGTGGTAAATAGTCTCTTGCTCTGTGTAGTTTTCATAAACTACATATTGTTTCTTTCTCCCAATCCATTTTCCCACTTCGCCATCCCATTTATCTTTTATAACCGGTCTCTGCTTAGTGACATTTCTAACTTCTGGTTCCAAATAAGGAACCTGGATTGTATAGCTTTTCGTCTCGTATTGTGTTGGTTCGGCGTTTCGTCGTCTATTTGCTTCGGTGTTTATCTCGTTTTTCAGCGCCTGAAGAGTTGTGAGCTCGTACTTTTTCACAGTTCCAATTTTGGTTATCAAGTTATTTACCTGGGCTGTTAACTTATTGGGATCCAGGCTTTTCCAGACACCTGAGTCTGGCTCAACGTGACTATTTTCCCAGAAAACAGCCGGCACTTTCAGATCGGAGCAAATCTGTTGCAGATTTCGTGTTCTGGCTTCGCTTTGGGGTTCTTTTGTCAACACGACAATGCACGACTGCGTTACTTGTGGTCCGAATGTTTGAGTCAGGGTTGCCAAGTTTCGCCGCATTGTTATCGCTTCACCTATGAGAAACACAGAACGATTACAGAACTTGAAAGATGTTAATGGCGCCAACTGAATTCTCTGAAACAGATTGTCCTATTTTATATCGCGCTATTGGTTTCGATGCTGAGCAACATAGTATGATCAGTTGTTAAGTTTAAATGGTATGTCGATTCTGTTTTCTGCTTTTTGGTACAATAAGTCATCCAAAAACCTTAATAAAATGTGAACAATTATTCGACGCATGTCGACAAAAGTCGAGAAAAAAAAATATTCAATAAAGATTTGAGAAAAAGTGTTTTCTAGCTATGAAATATGTTTAAAATTGTCAAAATTCAAACTCACTTCGGAGACTTTCGAAGACAAGGAATGCATCCACAGCAGTGGTGAGTGAAGTGCTCAGATGGTACTCTAACTTAGTCCTGATCTCCTTGTTGGACAGTCGCAACTGTGAGTCATTCATGCCCGGAGTGTCGTAGATGTTCAGAGTCTTCCCTCCGCTCAACTGCGTCGTACACTCCGACACTTCTGAACATAGCCAGCAAAACTTAAGCTAATGCTGGTAGATTTTTTGCCCCCCCCCCCAGCCTAGTAAAAATATAGAGCCACGTCACCGTGGGGTTTTTGATAAGCCTTAAGATTTAAGCGCTAAAAGAAATTTTTCAATCAGTTTTCAAGCGTTCAAATTACTGGCTTGAAATTTAACCAATTTTTTCCTGCATGAATTGGAAACTTTTTGCTCCCCCTCCCCCCCCCCCCCCCCCTCTCCGCAAAAATAGTGCTAACAAAGCACACCAATAGTGGTGGACTCTCCATTGTCGCCTCCGACTCGTTTCCAGTCGCGCCTGTTGGCAATCGTGTTCACGAACGAAGTCTTGCCCACCCTCGTATCTCCAATCAGCATCACGTTCAACTCGACCATTATAGCTTTGTTTATTTCCTCACTGACATAAGTTAGGAACCAAAATTAATTCTTCCTTATCTATGAAAAACAGAAACTATTTATTAGTTATGCTTTTTTTCAAATTTTTATTTGAATTGTTTGGTGATTGGTATAAATTAAACCCCAACAACTGAAGTTTCAGCGATGAAAAGCAAAAATGAATAGCTTTAACATCCAAAAGTGTAATTGATGTAAAACACGTGTATTCAGTTCACTGACGCAAGTAATGCTTCTGTAATATTTGTAGAAACAACATCACAAGCGACATACTAGAGCAACTCATTTAGTTCAAAGTACAAGCGTGACGTACAAGGTTTATTACGAGTTTGTCATAACCGTAGGATTATGAATAAGAATCCAGTAATGGCCCATATTCTATCAGCTTCCGAAACTTTCTGCTTATTCGCTGTGCGATCTTCTTGTTTTAAGAGTTCCGAAGCTATCGTCAATTGGTATTTTTGATGGTCCTTTAATAATGATCTTTCAAACACGACACACACTATATCAAATATCTTCTGACGTCAAATTTGGAACTGCAAATAAAATATGTCGTACAAATAACAAGAATGTTGCTGCAGTGTTGTTCGAAGAAATGCTGCAAATAACTAGTTTTGCAACAGAATAAAGACTGAAGAAACCTATTCGAACCAGCTGCTAAGTCATTAAGTTCACAAAACAAAATCATTATAAATTTATACGAAGATTTCAGGGTCTTTTCTGTTGTACGGCCCAAAGCTAGAAAAAAAAGAAGAGCATCTGTTCCAGATTAAAATAAAAAAATATATTTCTCCTTTTCCTTAGTTTACACCAGCTGCGGAATAATGGGGGGGGGGGGGGGGTGCGGGTTGCGGGGTGCGGGGGAGGTTATCGGATGCCCCCCCTTCTCAGAGATTCGACCCCCTGCCGACCCAAGGGGGCCCCCTGGTACTATTTTGAAATATCGGTCTTTTTAGTGAATTGGGGAGCTCAACAAATCAATTTGGTCGACCTAAAAAAAACGTCGACAAAATTTTCAATTTTTTTTTCTCGAAAAATCGCCGCCTTCGAGAAAACCCTAGATCTGCCCCTGATTTACACAATCATTTATAATCGTGTTTCTAGTTTTCCTTAATTTAAACCAACAATGTTCAATCACTGTTTTTTGTTTTTTTTTTTGAAATTCTGACTATCATTCCTAAATAGATTCAATTTGGTACCAGATATAAACTATATTTATTATTTGGTTATAAATCGAATATTTTATCTCTATAAAATATTTATTATTAACCAATCACAATCCATCTAACTAACAACCCACTTATTTGTAAGTGCTGAAATTACTTGTAATTTCAGCACCAGAGAGATTTGAATTTAACTTAGAAATTAATTACCTGTCCAAGAAAACTTTAGCAATCGCAATAAGCCAGTATACTCTAGATCTATTGAGCCTAGCAGAAACTAGTTAAACACCCTGCGACTAGTAGATATAAGAGTAAGATTAGGATCGGTATTAGACTAAGAAGTTGCACGAATCTATCCGGCCGAAAATAAGATAGCGTGACGAGCAGACGGTGTACCCTATCCAAAATTACTCTATGAATTAGACATTAAAACATAACTCATCTGGTGCGACCATAAGTCTCGATCGAGACCTTAAAAAACAAATTAGTTTAGAACTAACAGATAGATTAAAATTAGACAAAAATATTATCAAAAATGTTACATGATCATAATCTAATTGAAATGTCTCTACGACTCAATATATCAGAACCTCGATACCGCACAATAATAGAACTACCAGGCATTGGAAGAAGACCTCGGACAAGAGACGATCTACGACTACGAAAGAACTTACCATTAAATTTCATGGTCGTACGGCAAAAGCCAGACCAAACTTTTATATTTAGGATTTTATTAACAAGGAATTTGATTTTCATTTCAAAACATAGAAACCTTGAAGAAAAATCTTCAATGATTATTACAAGCGCTAAATCCTTTTTACTATTGTACAATAGCGATTTATAAAAACATCTCAAATCGTTCCCTCTAAATCTGCAGTAAAATTGAAAAACTTATCTGAAAAATTTTATTAAAAGAAAAAATAAAAATAAGTTGAAATGATCATTAATTATTAGTATACAGAAATCATCCTGTCATCCCCCGCTTCATCACCTAAACATAATAGCAATCATTTAAACCACTAATATCATCAAACACTAAAATTTCTATCAAATAAATTTAAGTTTTCGTTAAAACCTTATCTAAATTTTTATCTTTCTTTCATCTCAATTTATTCAATCTTAAACTAGATCATCAGGGCTTCCCTTGGATCAAAAGAACAATTTTGTTCTCCCCCACCCAATAATAAAGTGTCTAACGACCTCAAACGTCGATTCACAACCCAACACTTTTTAAAGACCCAGGACTAATAGAAATTTTTCAATCACACTAACCATTCAAATTAAGCTAAACAGTGAAGAACTTCGGTTATTCATCCTTCACTTAATCTCCCCTCTTATCTGACCCAGGCTAAACCTTAAATCTTAGTAAGTATTAAAATAGTATCTAACGAACTACCTGTGTTCTAATTATACCTGAACCTTGTGGATCGATTTACTATTCTCCAACCCTTGAACACAATCACTACCCTTAAGTAAGATTAAGTTAGTTAACACCTTAACTTAGAATAGCCACGAGAAAGTAAAAATCATTCTTCGGAAACGATATATACTTTTCTCTCCAACCCTACATAACAGACCCAAGTTAGGCTGACCAAAAAAATTGTAGGGAATAACATTCTAGGATTTTAAAATCACTAATAACAACCTTGCACCCTTCATCCTAAACCTTATGTCATTAAACAATTTAGGAAATAAACAAACAATCGTACTTCACAATTGTAACATAAATAACGAAACATACGATCTTGTAATTACACCGCATAAACAAACAATCGGATATATTCGCACAAAACGCAAACAATAAAAAGAAAAATTTTAAGTAAGCAAAGACAAATTACACGAAAAAGATTTTCAAAGCGTAGAAACGCAGTCTCTGAATCAGAAGTCAGTGATTTAGATGCACTCTACAAACTAAAAAATACAGTAAATAAAAACCACCCATATCAAGATCATTTATACTTTTCTGATTCAGAAGCTACATCACATTCATCAAAACAGGGAAAAAGAAGAATAAAAAGGATATACAAAAATAAACCAGTGCGTTTATACAGTTGGAACGAACCAATCAGACAGATTGAACATTACGCACTGACAGTCATTAAACGAAAAAATGAGTCAAAGCCCAAGTGACGAAAGTCCAGACGAAGACACTGTCTTCCCATTTATCATCATTTCACTCACTGAAGACAGAGGACAAACACAGTTTTGTCATAATCTAATCGCAAATAAATTTGAACAAGGAATTAGCCCATGTAAAGCTGAATTCCCAGAAATAAAAATCAAAAGACAAATTGTCGATCATTACATAAAAACAATATGTAACTTAACACAACAATATGGAATTTACACCATAGCACTTAGTACAACTAGAAATTTTCATGGCAAATATGTTATCCAAACAGATGATGTCGATATAGAATTTTCAAAAGTATTTACAAAATACATTAAAAACATACAACTTCAAAACTCACAGAGAGCAAATTCAATTTTCACTAACGATATTTTGCAAATTATATAATTATTTATCTATACTAGAAAAAACAGAAACCGAAAGCACATCACCGGTTCCAACATCAAGACACACAAATGTAAGAAATGAAATTGCTGCAATCTCAGCGTTTTTAAACACAATCCGTTAAAATTTTTCAAATAACGAACTTTCACCAAATGTTAAACACGATTTACAAAAAATCTTAGCGTGGTTTATAATTGACTATTTTACCCACAATATAGGTTTAATTGCACAAGCAAGAAAAAATTTTAGACCCCAAAGTACAAATGATTACACTATCATTGCCGAACAATCAGATTACGTTTGGGACCCTGAATGGTCTCATCCTTTTTTTTTCTGAATATTCCAATAGATATCTCAAGTCAAGCAAATAGTACAATAACTATTCACAAAGATTATATAAAAGTAATTCCACTAACAATAGATGCAACACCTTTAAACTATAATTCATTTTTACCTGATAAAAGACAAAATAATAGTTTAAATTCAACTCTTGTACAACAAGAAAACTTAAATGGAACTCGAAATCTTACACAACAAGTTATTCAAACACCATCACATTTTATAAATGAAGAAATAGTTGAAACAATCGTAACAACTACACAACAAAATATTTCACCAATACATCTAAGCCTTACAACGCCAAAACCAAAGACTTCAATGTTACCCCAAGTAGCTTTGCAATCTACAGTTAAGCTCTCGGTTGCTCCAAAATATTCACATATGGACTACCAAACATTTAGACCAATGACGAAACCACCACAAAAACAAAGAATATTCACCAGAATTAATTTTTCAGAACACAATTATAACTATGTAAATAGATCGCAAACATCTAAACCTCCTCGTACAAATCAGCGTAATCGTTCATTTTCACAACGACAAAATCCCCAACAGCACACATCAATTTTCGTAAATTTTAATGATAACCCACGTATTCCAACAGACCTAAGTGAAAACTATCCATTTTTTCAACAGAATAAACATAATAAAAAACCTTACCGATATAAACAAAAAACACCTTACTATACACCTAATTAGCATTCATCAGATGATGACGAACTTCATTACCAAAACCATCAACAAAATTTTCAAAACCGAAGACCTCAGTCTTATCACGTAAATCAACCATATGATTTTGAACCATATACACGAACAACACATGCGACAACCTAGATCAAATTACGAACCTCAAAACAATAATTTTTATTCACAAAATCCAGTAAATACTGATTATTATCAACCAACGCAAATGCAAAACGAAATACCACTACCATATTATTTGCAACAACATGAGATAACAAAAAACCAACTGACAAATTTTTCACAAATGCCAAATGCCGCAGAATCACTACAAATGACTATGAGTCCATACCTCATGGGTGGATCATCAATAACATCAAGTAAACCACTAATGGTATTCACAGGCACAGACCCTGAATATTCTGTAGAAGACTATCTAAATGCAGTCAGAGCAAATTTAATTTTAAATATCGGACCTGAACCACTTACTACACCACTCCA